AGGTCTTAAATTTTGTCGGTCAGAAGCGATTAAAGTTCTCCACCTACCCCGGCCGTGTCTGCAGCGCATTTCCTGTTGAGAAAAGAAAAAAACAAACTTGTGTTGTGATGAATAACTAACGCTGCTTTCAGCCAATAAAAGAACCAGAGTCACAGTTTTAGCCAATCAGAGCAGAGCAGGGCAGGTCCTGCTGTCTGAGTGGATACTGTAAGTGAAGTAATCGTGTTGCTCTGACTTTTCCAATGACCTTTTTTTTTTTTGCTTTTTTCGACCCGCTACCAGAACCACCCACACCACATGAAGGTAAAGTTTTGTAATTGATTATTAAATGTCTAAGCATTAAACGTATGTGTTCGCATGACCAGTTTGCTGCAGCCGAGGAGATGCTGAGCTGTTATATCGTTACTTCAGCCCGTCTTCCAGAACTGAGCCCCGACCTGCGTGGGTCTTTTTTATCTGAGGTCTAACTCTGTGTTAAACACCTGGTTAAACATTGTTGTGTTCAGAGCGTCGTAGTTATTTTAAAGACATGCAACTTACACGCGCTGAGGAGCTACCTGAGTACTCCTACCCGCCCAGAACCAAGCCCCGACCTTTTTGTATCTAAAGTCCAGTTGTGTTAAACATTTATGTGTTCGGAGCGTTGTCGATATTTTACTATAGAAAGCGCACCGAGCCAAATACCCATGAACATTTTACGTTACTTTTATGCGTAAACTTGTGCAACTTAAGCACATGATAGGGGGTATGGTTATAGCTAAAAAATACTATTAAACATAGGAGCTTCAGATTTCTTTTGTGTTTTACCTCTGATGAGGGGCTATCCATCAGGTCAACCAATCCCCACCCCCCCCAATAAAAATGTCCCCCACCCAAACCACTACAATTTTAGAATGCTCCTAGTAGCATGAGATTTATTAGGTATAAAGACTTCTGAGTTCTGGTGTATTTGTGCGTGCGGGGGTCATTATGTTACCACTATGCGGGTATGTAGGTTATTTTTTTTCTATTTTTTTTTCAATTTTTGGTCAATCTTAGCACAAAAACGGCTACACCAATCAACGTGAAATTTGGCAGGGCTGTAGATGAGTCTGACATACACTGCACCAGCCAATGGTTTTACGATAGACCCCATATTTGACGAGGGGGCTCCTTTCAAAGTGGGGGTGTCTGCGCATGCAAAAATGCTTATAACAGAAACTGTTCAACATAGGAGCTTCAGATTTCTTTTGTTGTTTAGCTCTGATGAAGCTCTATCCATCAGGCCCACCAATCAGTGCCCCCCCCCCCCCCCGACCCCCAATTTATCTGAAAAAGGGGGATCTGGACATACAAAATGGGTTATAGCTCACAATCTATAAAACATAGGAGTTTCCGAGCACCGAAACCACTACAATTTTGGGATGCACCTAGTAGCATGACATTTATTAGGAATACAGACTTCTGAGTTCTGGTGCATTTGTGCGTGCGGGGGTCATTATGTTACCGCTATGCGGTATGTAGTTGTCGCAATAAGTGTTGTGATTCTTGTTGGTTTTGATATTAGTGGGTAAAGACTTAAACTATACATTGTCTTAATAAACATACTATTGGAATCAATTTGAGTTCTCAAGTCAATGTTGAAGTCTCCAAACAAAAATATTTTATTAAAACTCATTTCAAATAGCTCCGTGATTTTATCTGAAAATGATTCTATATTTGAACCTGGTGAACGATACACAGCTCACCACTATATTTTTAGAGTTCTCATTCAACATCTCAACGGTAATCATTTCCATTACAACATCAACAATTATTGACATTTTGTCCCTAATTTTACACTTTAATTCAATATCAATGAACAAAGCAACACCCCCACCTCTTTTATTGCTTCTATTCCCACAGTATAACTCATATCCATTCATTTCATAGTTATTTATATTTTAGGCACTTAACCAGGTCTCTGAAACTGCTATTATACTAAAATGTTTGTGTAACTGTTTTGAATAATCTGTTATTTTTGAAAATTTTGAATTCCTACTTCTACTATTAAAGTGAATAATAGAGAAAACTGCATTTATCATTTTACTGTTATTGAATTGATCCTCATTATAATATTGACACTCTTCAATCACTGGAAAAATATCTGCTCTACCATGTTTACATCATATATTTTAGACTCTGAAAGTTCATGATCCTACATTTATGGTATTTATTTTGTTTATCTAGATCCAAAAGCACATTTGATTAAAACACTAAATAAACCCATGTTATTATTTATGTCATCTCACTGTTGTTTGCTGTATATCCATTACTTATCAACTTCTAACTTGTCCAGTTGCTCCAAAGATCAAATCCATAGACCTTTGGCATTCTCTGGTGCATCTTTTGTTTTTATGAAGACTTTACAGTTCATTGTCCATGCAGCCTGAATTGTTCTGTTTCTTTAGTAATCTAGCTTTCTTTGTGATGTCTGCATTCTTCTTAGTGAGATGTTCATTAATATAAACACTTGTACCTTTCAGATTTTTTCCTTGTTTGAGCAGATCAATCTTGTGTTTTCTATTATTGAACTGAATGATTATTGGTGAATTAGCAGACTTTCCTCTTTGGTTTTTGACTTGTAGATTGTGACAAGCTTCAAAGTTTTCCTTTTCAATGTCAATGTCTTTACTCTGCAGGAATGTAATTATCTGCTCCTCAACTGTTCCTTCATGTTCTAAATAATTGTCACTCCCTCTCACAGCCTGTGAGTAGCTCTGTGGTATAATTTCTAATGCTGTTATCATGACGTCATTTGTTCGAGTATACGGTTCCAAATCTGCTACTCTGTTTTCCAAAAATTAATTCTCTTGGATTGTTCCACGGTTTGCATTTTAAGCTGCTTGAGCTCATTTAGCAGTTGAGCAATAATTGACTGTTTTGTCAGTGTCACCAACTCACCAGACATCATGTTCATGGAGTCCTTTAATTCTTCCGTCTTTCTGTATTACCTTCAAAGCTATCTTCGTCCAACTCCTCGGTCAATTCAACAAACCAGCCACTGTCCACCACCAGCCCAGCCGAGGTACACTTCGCTGCAGCATGCAGAATGGGGCGGTGACAGACCTTTCCGTCAGTCCCATAGTTTATATGGAAATGGGACTATTGCATTCCGGAAATGAAGGTTGCGCGGGATTAAGAGAGCAAAGGAAGAAGAAAGGAAGAAGTTAGAGAGTTTCTTCTACTCACGTTCAAGTACTCAGAGCATTATTTATTAATTTCTTTTATCCACCTCCCCAAACACAGACCCTCAGGTTAACCTCACAGGTTTAATGCCTAAGGTTAGTTTGTTACTGTAATATAATATTAATATCCAAAAACAACAAATATTTAATAAAGATTTGAAAATGAAAAAGGGACATACCACGTGACATAACACGTTGTGTAGCCATTTCCTTACTGTAAAATTTCTTTTGTTTTATTTTTTTATTAAACAACAAAGAACACACAAAATGATACAATGTACAAACAATAAGGCGTATTTCAAACAAACAAACAAACTTGCATAAAAGAGAAAAAGGATGGTTCCAAATAAAGATAAGAAATTCTTTACTGTAAAATTTGTATTTTTAATGTTGAAAGTGTTCGATAGAAAATAGTGTCACTAGCGCCCCCTTCATTTCCGGAATGCAATAGTCCCATTTCCATATAAGGTATGGGACTGACGGAAAGGTCTGTCACCGCCCCGTTCTGCATGCTGCAGCGAAGTGTACTTGGCCCAGCCAGCCTTCCAGTTAGCACACTGGCTAGCTGCTTTCCTCCACCGTCAGCTTCCTCCTTCCTCTGCCTCAGGTGTTCATCGGCAAAGCCGTCCTCTCCTCTCTCCACCACAGGCCTCCCTCCACTCCACCGCAGCCTTCCACCATCCCTCAGCTGGCCTCCACACTCACCGACGTCGGGCCGCTCTTCACCGCGGACTTCCACCACCTTGCCACAGGATTCCACTCTCACCGACGTCGGGCCACTCTTCACTCCACCGCGGAAATCTGGTGTTTGTGGCTGCTGATGGGGCACCGAGTATGACTGGAGTGAAGAAGGGCTTTGTAACTTTACTCAGTCCTCAAGGCCTGCTGTCCCCAGGAGGACCTAATCGCCTCATCTCCAGGCCTCGAAGGGTTCAGCTTCTCTGTGTCATGCTGTTGTTGTCGTCTTATAGGTGATGAAACGTGGCAAAGGAAGCTTTGTTTAATGGTGCTGCTTATGTCATTTGTGTCCGGTTCCATTTAGAAGAGTTTCTTCCTTGACCTGGTATATCTGTATAAATCACATGATTGCTCATGCTACAGAAAGATGTGAAACTTGTAACCACCCACTTTTGCTTTGTATTAATAAATGTTGCAAGGAGGTTTGTACATTCAGAGAAGGAAGCCACTGAGTTACAGAAATGCTGTCTCCCCTTGCGCAAGTAAAACTTAATCTTGGTGTTGTACTGTATCTGTTTCTTCTCTGTTTCTCTGGGTTTTAAGGTGTCTTGAACCTAACAATGGATTTTTTTGTTTGTTTCAGGTTTGGATTTTGTCTCTAAGTCCAGATGGGAAAGGCAAACTACTTCCAACAAACCTTACTCTTCTTCATCATCATTACATTTGTTCTAATATTCATCTTTAATCTGGAAACTCCTAGTAAAGACAAGTCAATTCCAACACCGCGTGGACCTCCACCTGTTTGTCCATCAGTCATCTCTGATCAGGCCATCACTCCTCTGCTGAACACCAAACATTTCCTGGTCTCGGCCTTCATGGACCAGAGAGTGAAGGGATTCGACATACGCATCATCGGCATGTTTCATAGAGACTCCATCCAGAAGCTCCACTGCCTGTTCTGCTGTGTTGGACATTTAGGTGAAACTACTCCCACCACAGTCTTAGTCCACTCAGATCACTTTGGTTTTCCCTTTGCAACTACAGACGTCATGTGTCAGATTCCTCAAAACTGCACTGCTACACATGTCACCCTTCTGACTCAGCCCAGTGCAGAGAACATTTCTAATCTCACTTGGATTCCTATAAGAAACAGGAAAAATATTAAAGATGAGGAAAAGATGAACTTTACTGTCTGCATTTCCAGCCTGTTTGGAGGCTACAACAATGTGCTTCAGTTTGCACAGACCCTGGAGATGTACAGGTCAGTAAATATGCACATTTAACTTAAGTATCACACGCATGTCATGTCTGAGTCTTGATTGATAATGTCTGAACATTTCATTTTTAATCATTTAAGGCAGAACTAATGAATCACATCAGATCTGAGTGATGTTTCTCAGTGGCATCATTTAAGAGTTGTTAAAAAAGCGAGAGCAGGAAAATTTCTGGAGAACTGTCAACATTTTGAGTTGTTTTTATTCCATTAATATTTTTTTTGTCTAGTTTAGTCAAATTTTTCTATGTAAGCTTCCCACAGAAGGTTTATGTGGCTGTGTTGTGCTGGAATTTATATTGTTAGGCTGATAATGATGGAGTTTCAAAAACCACAGATGTCCTAGTTATAGTAGGGCTGAACGATTTTGGAAAATAATCTATTGCGATTTTTTTTTAATCTATAAATGTTGATTGTGATTTAGTATGCAATCATATTTTAATGTCTTCCCTAGTATTTTCTAACAAACAGAAGCAATAAATCTCTCTGTTTTAACAAAGTAAGATTTATTTAAAGCAAAGATTACAATAAAGCAAACAAATCTGTGGCTTTACCTTTTCACCATTTCTAATTTTTCTTGTTTCATGAAACGTGATATTAAACATGTTAAGTGAACTTCCTAAACACTGTATGAACTTCACAGGACAGTCTATAAAAAAATAGAAACAAGTATTAATATAAAAAGAATAAAACTTACTGTTTTCCAGCCAGTAACATCATGAAAAAAGTGCAAAAAACATGGAAAATAACAAACTCGTTATTTTCTAGGAGAATCAAACTCAAGTTGCTAGATTACATCATCACCTAATATGTTTGCCAAAACAGTGAGGTGCAAAGGTTCGGGCAGCCTTGTTGATTTTCCTGATTTACCTTTATAAATCGTTGATTGTTTGGATAAAAAAAATATCAGTTAAATATATCATATAGGGGACAAACAGTGATATTTGAGAAGTGAAATGAAGTTTATACAGTATGATTTACATAAAGTGTGCAATAAATGGTTAAACAAAACTAGGCAGGTGCATAAATCTGGGCACCAAAAAAAATCCCTTAACTCAATATTTAGTAGATCCTCCTTTCACAGAAATTACAGCCTCTAAACACTTCCTAGCTTCTAATGAGAGTCTGGATTGTGGCTGAAGGTATTTTACACCACTCTTCTTTACAAAACATCTCTAGTTCATTCAGATTTGATGGTTCCTGAGCATCAACAACTCTCTTTAAGTGACACCACAGATTTTCAATAATATTCAGGTCTGGGGACTGAGATGGCCATTCCAGAACGTTGTTCTTGTTCCTCTGCATGAATGCCTTAGTAGATTTTGAGCAGTGTTTAGGGTTGTTGTCTTGTTGGAAGATCCAGCCCCGGCACAGCTTCAGCTTTGTCACTGATTCCTGGACATTGGTCTCCTGATATTGATTGGAATCCAAGCATCCCTCAACTTTAACAAGATTCCCAGTCCCTGGCTGCAATCAACTGGCTCCTCTCAGCTGATTGCAGCCAGGTGTGTGTGTGTGTGTGTGTGGGTGCTGCTGTATGAGGCTTCAGTTGGACTGCTTTAGGAAGGGGGAGGAGCTCACCGCACCACTCAATACTCGTAGAGAAAAGGAGAAGAAAAGGAAAAAAGTGCTGTCACCAAAGCTTCCAAAGGTCTTCAAAAACACTGGGAAAAGTCAACAGATTTGTCGCTAGTCACTTTTTTGGGGGAAAAAGAGGCGCTAGAGGGGTCTGAAAAGCTGCTTGGTATAGCAACAATGTCACTAAGTTAGCAGCACTGCTCCACTCGGCTCACTCCCAAGTCACGTGACCCGTCAAATTTTCTAGGAAAACCAACTCACCGAGTCAATGGTGAGTTGGTTCCTTTCATGGGGGAGGATGTTGGTCAGACCTCTCAGACCAAAACGTATAGTGAGGGTCTGCTGGGAACATCTGGCGAAGTCTCCTGCTTCAGCTCACACCTCAGGGAGAACTTTGAACACGTTCCGGGGCAGGTGCGGGACATTGAGTCCGAGTGGGCCATGTTCCATGCCTCCATTGTCGAGGAGGCTTACCTGAGCTGTGGCCGTAAGGTTGTCGGTACCTGTTGTGGCGGCAACCCTCAAACCCGCTGGTGGACACCGGCGGTGAGGGATGCTGTCAGGCTGAAGAAGGAGTCCTATCAGGTCTTTTTGGCCTGTGGGACTCTGGAAGCAGCCGATGGGTATCAGCAGTCCAAGCAGATTGCAGCTTGGGTAGTCCCTGAGGCAAAAACTCGGGCATGGGAGAAGTTCGGAGAGGCCATGGAAAGACTCCCGTATGGCTTTGAGGTGATTCTGGTCCACCATCCGGTGTCTCAGGGGGTAAAGCAGTTCACCACCAACACTATTTATGGTGGGGATGGTGCACTGCTGACCTCAATTCGAGACGTGGGTCGGTGGGCAGAATACTTTGAAGACCTTCTCAATCCCACGGACATGTCTTCCCATGAGGAAGCAGAGCCCGAGGACCCTGGATCGGACTCTCCAATCTCTGGTGCCGAGGTCACTGAGGAGGTTAAAAAGCTCTTTAGTGGCAAGGCGCCGGGGGTGGATGAGATTTGCCTGGAGTTCCTTAAGGCTCTGGATATTGTGGAGTTGCGTTGGTTGAGGTAACTCTACAATATCACGTGGGCATTTGGGGCAGTTCCCCTTGTTTGGCAGACCGGGGTGGTGGTTCCCCTATTTAAAAAGAGGGACCGCAGAGTGTGTTCCAACTATAGGGGGATCACATTTCTGAGTCTCCCTGGTCTGTTCAGGGGTCCTGGAGAGGAGGGTCCATTGAATCTCGGATTCAGGAAGAGCAGTGTGGTTTTCGTCCTGGTCGTGGAACAGCGGACCAGCTCTACACCCTCAAAAGGGTCCAGGAGGGTGCATGGGAGTTCGCTCAACCAGTCCACATGTGTTTTGTGGACTTGAAGAAGGCGTTCGACCGAGTCCCTCGGGGACTCCTGTGGGGGTTAATCTAGGAGTATGGCCAGTTGATATGGGCTGTTAGGTCCCTGTACCACCAGTGCCAGAGCTTGGTCCACATTGCTGGTAGTAATTCAGACTCGTTTCCGGTGAGAGCTGGACTGCGCTAAAGTTGCCGTTTGTCACCAATTCTGTTCATAACTTTCTAGGCGCAGCCAAAGTGTTGAGGGGACCTTAGGATTGCATCTCTGCTTTTTGCGGATGATGTGGTCCTGTTGGCTTCATCAGATCGTAATCCCCAGCTCTCACTGGAGCAATTCACAGCCGATTGGGAAGCGGCCGGGATGAGGGTCAGTGCCTCCAAATCCGAGACCATGGTCTTGAGCCAGAAAAAGGTAAAAAGGTAGTTTAAGTATCTTAAGTGTCTTGTTCACAAATGAGGGAAGAATGGAGCGGGAGATCGACAGGCAGATTGGTGTTGCATCTGCATTGATGCGGGCGCTGTACCGGTCTGTGGTGGTGAAGCAAGAGCTGCGCCAGAAGGTGAAGCTCTCAGTTTACCGGTCGGTCTATGTTCCTACCTTCATCTATGGTCACGAAGTAGTGACCAAAAGAATGAGATTGCAAATAGAAGCGGCCAAAATGAGTTTCCTTCGCAGGGTGTCTGGGTTCTCTCTTGAGAAGCTCAGTCATCTGGGAGGGAGAATAGAGCCTCTGCTCCTCCACATCGAGAGGAGCCAGTTGAGGTGGCTCGGGCCTCTGGTTAGGATGCCTCGTGGACGCCTCCCTGGTGAGGTAGTCTGGGCATGTCCCAGTGGGAGGAGGCCCTGAGAAAAACCCAGGACACACTGGAGGGACTATGTTTCTTTGCTGGCCAGGAAAGCCTTGGGATTACCCCGGACGAGCTGGCCCAAGTGGCTGTGGAGAGGGATGTCTGGGTCTCTCTGCTTAGGCTGCTGCCCCCGCGACCCGATCCCAGATAAGCAGAAGAAAACTGATGGACGAACTAAATTTATTCTTTTTTTTCCCAACTAGCAACTAAACAGATTCCTGTTTTGTTTAATTTCATAAATATGCCCAAGTTTAATAATGTGAGAGAAATCCACATTTCTCTGCTCATTCAGTCAGTGTTTAACACAGCTGGCACAATGAATTGTTAAAATAATGCTGTACTCTTTAAATTTAGCATGTGAAAATTTAGTCTTTTGTGTTATAGAAAGACACTTGATTCAAGAGAAATGTCACGTTTTTAGGAAAATGGCTGCTTATCAATTAATTGTCAGTCGATCGATAAGATCAGCCAACTTTAGATTAATTCATTAATCAATAACTTGCATCCCTAATAGACAGCCTATTTATAGTTTAAACAGAACAATATTTCAAAAAAGCATGTAAACATGATTTATTGAGTTCAAATTTGGTGCGACTAATGTCATCCATGTTATAGATGGCAATCTTTTTACAGGCTGGTTAGGGCTGTTTTGACCAAACCAAATTGTTACACATCCCTCCATATGTACAGCATTCACATTTTGTACAGTTAGCACCTTTCTATCTCAAGTTATGACCAAAGTTAATATTCATATTTATAAATATAAGTGTCGCCTGGCTATTTGAACCAAGCTGCACGTATCCCCAGCTGCTTTCCGTTCTTCAAACCCCAGACAAAGTAGCCAAGCCAACCAATCACATTTTAAACTACTCCCTCAAAAGTCAAATCATGTCTTGAACAAACTCCTTTCACACAACAACAAACTCTTGTTGTCAATGCAACAAGAAATGCAGAAACCCCTTTCCCCTTTTTGTGGGGTTCTGTTTGTGCCCCACCATTTTTTAGAGATGGAAATGGCACAGGTCGTTTACGCAATGGTGTGAAATCAAGCTTTTTAGTCAAGGTAGTAATCCATGTTAAATTAAAAATGGTCTGAATTGGTCTGGTTTGTGGTTTTTAGAGCCAATTGGGGAAAAAACTGACTGCTTTTATTATATTGTAGCAACCGTTGCTAGCAGGAAACACGACAGGATCAAGTCTCTTCAATGTCAGATTTTATTTTCCTCTTGAACACACCCCTTAACAGAAAATACCTCCCCCTTACACAGCCAAGAAGCTTATTTCACTCATGGTGCAATTTTTACAGTCAAATTCCAACACAGTAATCAGATTGAACTCAACAAGAACATCAAATCTTTTGACAACAACAACATTGTAACATTTACAAATAATGAACACAAAACCCCACAAAATTACCCATAATGCTTTGTGGCCCACACAGTCACTCTGGGACGTTACAATATTTTATCATTTTCAAAATAAAATCCAGCAATCTCTTGCCCAAAAAATGGTAAAAAGAAAAATATATTTTTCTAATAGGTTTAGCAATTAAGAGGAATCTGTGTTTTTTGTCCAAGGTTGCTCGGAATAAACAGAGTGGTGGTCTACAACACCAGCTGTGGTCCTGATCTTGACCGTCTCCTGCAGAGCTACGCCCAAGAAGGATTTGTGGAAATAGTTCTTTGGCCCATCGAAAAGCACATGAATCCATCCAAAGGCTGGCTGTTCTCACAACATGGAGGAGATATACACTACTATGGGCAGAACACCAAGCTTAACGAGTGTCTTTACAGAGCCATGGAGAATTCTCGTTACGTCCTTTTGCACGACATCGATCAGATCGTCATGCCGTATCAACACAATGACCTGATGTCTCTGATGGACACACTGCAACAGCAACATCCAAATGTAGGGGGCAGACATGAGACAAGTATGGCAGTTTACATTTTATTTCTTATTGCTTTTTTACTTTTTTCTTTTACTGTAGGTTGGTGTGTTCCGCATTGAAAGCCACAGTTTTTCCAAGATGCGCTTTGAGCCAAGTGGGAGGTTTCACCTGCCTCAGTGGAGCAGAGTGCCAGGGGTTAATATTCTGGAGCACACTTGGAGGGAAGAGCCTAATTGGGAAGAATACCATCCATACAAGATGGTAATTCAACCAAGGTAAGCTGACAAAGTTATTATTTTAATAATCAATTAGTCGTTGACTAATCGATTAATCGTCGCAGCCCTATAGAAATGACTCAGCCTGCAACTGAAAATGTGGATGGACAACAGAGCTGCGTCATTGAAGGCTCGTCTCTGCTTTAGCCTTTTAGCTTTCACAATAGATCCAGAGCTAATTTACTACACATCACATTTAATAGTTTCAACCACTGTATTGTGTGAAGATCTGTTGTCCTGTCCTCTGTTTTTCTCTGGTGTTCGGTGTTCTCATTACCATCTTTTCCTCAKTTCAGTTCTGCCTTCTCATGATTCATTCTCACACCTGTCTGTACTCAGTAATCACCCAGCTGTCTCCACTCAACCCTKCTGCTATTTAACTGGTTCCCTTGCTCCACTTCTTCATSCGTTSATTGTTTGGGGTCACCCTGGCTTCCTCCTGTACTCTCCTGTTCCCTGTTAGGTTTTTGTTTTGCYGCCMCGCCGGCTTTTGTTTAAATAAAGTGCYTTTTGTTTGACTCCTCGAACCTGTCTGCATTTTTGGGTCCAGCCTCTCCCTAAACACTGTCATATTGTGCAGAACATAGAAACTAATAACTTTATTGCCACACATTAAAGCTTCCTAGCCTCAACTGTAGCGCACCCTCGTCATCCCCAAAGTGCACTGCGTCAGTAACAAAATGATCATGTGCTTACATGAAAAATGTAATAAACTTGGACAATCTTTTCAATAATAAAATGTTTTTGTGTGTCACAAATAAATTTTAGTAGAATAGAGAAATAATATATTAAGACCAACATGTGCAAGTAATCAAAAATCATTTAGGCATTAAAGAGGGAAACCTTTATAATCACATTGAACTTTGATAGCTAAAGACAAATTGTAAAATGTGCCAGGTTTCTACTTATCTACTTAGATTTTACAAACTCACGATGGACCCTTATTTAAATATTATTTTTGTCATTTAAACCACACCCAATCTAAAAGCAGATTTTATTTCAACTTCCCTCTGTGTTCTTGCATCGCAGGATGGTGGAGCAGACTTCAGTGCATGAAGTGATTAAGCATTTCGGACAAGAGTACAAAGTTCCTCCACAGGTCTGCCGGATCATTCACATTTGCTCGGGTGGGACCATACCATTGGAGCTCCTTCATGAGGACAAACGACTGTGGGCCTTCCATGAAAAACTGATTCCTAACGTGGACCGGGTGCTGAAGAGAGTGGAGATGTTGTCGTCCAAAAATTGAAGATGAAGTATGGAAAAAGCCCTGTGCTGATGATTAAAGTGCCCCCCTCACACACACACCACCCCCGTCTATTGAGGCTTTTAAAATGCACATGAAGAAACATTTGTTTTTGTTGGCTTTGTTTTTTTTTTTTACATTTAAAGGTTCAGGTATTTAAAATGTATATTTTTTTGGTAATTCTTAGCGTTTTATACAGTATCTCAAAGTGATACTTGAGTAAAAGTGCAAGTTTCTTACTATAATATTCCACTGGTAAAAATTAACGTCTCCTCTAAGAATATTACTTGTGTAAAAGTCTTAAAGTATCTGAAATTTATGGTACTTAAGTATCAAAAGTAAATTTCAGATTTAATATGAATTTAAGTATTAAAAGTAAAAGTATTGAGTAAAAGTGAGCAGTTAGATCTTCCAAAATGACATTTATTGGGAGGTGACCTTCCCCAAAAAATGTTTTTAGAAAGGCCATAATGACTATAATGTTATATTAAAATGTTGACAAAGTTTGAATGCACTCGTCTACTTGTTTCAGCCACATATATCCCTGCCACAGTCATCATAGTCTGCTATGTCCTACTGAAGTGTGGCGTGATTTGTGTTGTACAGGTGTGATGGGCCGTACATATCAATAGGGTGTCAGATAGATATATATTTACACTTCACACCCAGCCTCATTTAAATTCACTCTATCCTGGTGGTACAATTTATCTGTATATATTTTTAATAATAACAAACCAGAATAAAAACAAGCCAAAATAAAATGAGTAACAACTTTATACTTCTTACCCTTTTAAAAAAAATGTAAGAAGTAGAAAGTAGAGATAATTCTGTGAAAATGGAAGGAACAGAAGTAAAACGTAGGCTGAAAAATAATTACTAGGGGTGCAACAATACAGGTGCTGGTCATAAAATTAGAATATCATGAAAAAGTAGATTTATTTCAGTAATTCCA